AGTGGGTTCGGATTGTCCTTGTTAAGGGCTACGATTCGATATATCGTACGCTCAAAACGGATAACGGGTGAATGAGAAATTGATTCTCGAAGTTCACTCGTTGAAATGGAAAAACTGGAAAAATGATGGGTTTCTAGTGTGTTTTATACCACACCGGAAAACTCAAGGGATTGTCACCCCCTTATAAAGGGAAGCCTCTTTTAAGGAGTTAAGATTCCTAAAGGTAAAGGCTCTCTCTTACGCGCAGGGGGGTGCCGATCAAATCCCAAAACGGAGAAGAAAAACCGCGACTCGTGTGCACGGGCGACCTGAGGACACGAATGTCATCTGAAAATCTATCATTCAAAGATACGATTTAGTTTTGGTTTCTTCCCGTAACGTTCCTTTATTTTGCAACAACACAACACATTCCTCACGTATTTTTGAGCTCCAAAACACTTCCAGCTACTCCGAAAATTTCTGAGTGTTCTCCTTTGTTCCCGTTCGCTGGAACTCTCGTTTGTGTGCTCAAACGTTAGTTCGTTAGCCACCGTATCCTAGGAAACTGTCATTGCAACGCTCATAGCACCGTGGGAGGCGAGGAATACGTTTTAAGGACATTGTGCGTAGCACGAGGTCTTGGCTAAACTCTGTCATATCTCTTTTCTATTTTTCTTTGGCTATTTAATTAATTAATTAATATTATTAATATTTCTTCGTTTTTCCGAGACACACCCAACATAATATATACAAAGTATATAATTTTACTCGTGCAGACCCACACACAAAATATAAATTTAGGTTCAGTTGAGAATAATTTATTAGGATTGATATGTTACACCCTATGGTTCCATGATGAACTGATTATTAAAAATAATATACTAGTTGTTACATCTACTCAAGTTTGTGTGCATCATGAATCAAATTCATATATCCTATTATTTCCAATAAATTCACGGAAACACAATAAGGAACTAGTCTAGGAAACTGAGACTGTTTCTATAAAGTTTCATGCATATCATATTTACAGAACATATCATTGAGAAAGCTTCTCTGAAACTAAATGCTAACTCATTTTTATGCATAAACGACCCAGACAATGAAAGCTTGTCGACCATTGATGGTGATGGATAAGTGTACCTGGGGGTATCTATCCGAGGGGTTATTACGGGGAATAACTAGAGAGAAGTCAGAGCAAGTAAGAGAGAGAAAGTGTATTGAATATGTAAGTTAAGACTTTTTTGAGCGTGGTTTTCAACGGGAAAATGGGGTGCTATTTATAGTAGCAATAAATGCCAGACAGGGACACGTGTCAAGCGTCCATTGGCCGAGGGGTCACCTCAACTGGTTGGCGCTGGCAATCACATGTGGCCGCATTTAATGCGGCTGTTGGATGTGACGTCGTACTTGGTACGGTGATCCATGCGCATGCGGAGCGAATATTATGTCGGAAAAGGTGCCCTCGGCTGTAGATGATTAGCCGAGGGCTCTGAGTACCGGGGACCTCTTTAGCGCCGAGGGCTCTAGGTGCCGAGGGATACTGATTTTCGCCGTTTTCTCCCAGTAACTTTGTTTTCCTGATTTGGCCATCCTGTGAGAATTGGAGCCTTCGGCCAGAGGGCCGAAGGCACCCCTAGTGCTCCACGTGGGTTGCTTAGTACTTGGGGCGCCATGATTTGGGCCTGATGTGCTTCCTGGGCCTATTGGGCCTCCATTAGAATAGTAGGAGTCTATGGGCCGGGGGTTCCTGGGCCATATACTCCATCAGATGGTTTCTTGTCACCCTCGGTGCTTTTACTTTGACATTTACATAGTTGCTTGAACAAACAGCTCATATGCCAAAGAAACCCGTGAACCGTTGGATGCACCATATGCGCTCAAGGGGTTATCTTTCAAAGTTTCTTTCGGTGCATGTTTTTGCTTGAGTTCAAGGAGACCAGAGATATATGTTAGTATATATGTCTACGGTGTTATGATTGATTGTTTTTATTGTCTATATATTATTCATACATATGTTCTCTTGGACTTGTGTTATCATCAAGTATGTGAGAATTAATGTGACATAACTTGCGGTCGTAAAAGTAGCCCCAATCAAAGATGATCGAGAATGGGATCCCAATAATATATGATAAGATTGATATGTGGAATGCATCATACTTTTAGAAAGTGTAGTTGATCACACAATTGTGGATTATATCCATTTGTGATGGTCACATAGATATTTGAAGAGTATCTATATACACGATCGAGGAACCATTTGGTATGTTTTATTCATGTGTTTATGGAAGAAAAATGTTTGGTCTTCATTTTTTTGATTACATCATTCACATACTTTGTTTATGTAGTATCTACACAAACAAAGTTGTCTCTATACAGACAACTTCTATATTTCCAGACAAATTATCTGTATACAGACAACTCTGTCTGTATATAGAGTGTGTCATTGGTGTACACAAAATGTGCACACCTAGCATTTTTAGTTTATGAAATTGTCAAGGTATATGGTTGTGTAATAGTCCTCCGATTTGAGGTCAATATATACATAATTCACGTGTGCATTAATTTGCTTTGACAACCATGATCACCACTTATCAATCAGAGTACATACAACAAAATGTTGGTCGCATGAGAAGTAGTAGTTCATCCAAAAAAATGATTCACTCCTCATAATAGATTTAAAGAGAACATTTTACTTTTCATTTTTAGATTGATCATAAAGGCACATTGACTGCATATATATTCATTTTGGATTTCAAATATGATCGTTATGAGTCATCTAGCAAGAATGATGGGCACACACTCCGTTATTAGAATAGACATTGTACCATGTTTTAGATATAGTTGAATGTTTATTAATGGAAGCATGCATATATAATAAATATAAGGATTTAATTAAAAACTATGCTAGGTCAATATATCAGAGAAAAACTGAATTGATCGAGTGAATACGCAATTTCTATGTACACCGATTGAATTTTTTATGTATTGACGGAGCATGATTGCAAACACCATAATTGGGTGAATTCCAATAATGGGTAAATCATACCTAAAATGTCTAATTAAGAGTAAATGTTTAAAAATCCCTAAATATGAGTAATAATAAAAAGTCCATCTTTTATATTCAAAAAAGAATTTGTGGTTGTACAAAAACACCCTTGCAAGGTTTAAAGCTACTATCAATGGTCACCGGACTTACGCATCGGCCAGGGGCGGATGTATGCTAGGCCAGGGGTGGGCTTCAGCCCAGCCCAATTTTTTTTTTAATAGTATTGGTACATTTTCAAATCTCAACCCAACCTAAATTATTTGTCAGCCCACCCCACAAATAATTTGTGAATCAGTGAAGTTATGAACTTCTGCTGTGAATTTGTAAACTGTGATTAACCGATTGTGTATTAAACTATTAATGTATTAATTATTATTATTTTTAGCATTTTAGAGTTTTAGGGCTAGGGAATCATACAATCGTTTTGATTATTAATTGAATTTTTCAGTACATAATTAAATAGTTTTATTTTTTATATATAAGTATTTTAATATATACCAATATTGAAAATGTTTTTTAGAATGGATAATGAACATGTTGCCAAGAAGGGAAAGAAGTTGATTTCATCATTCTTTTTGAAAGTGAATCGTCAAACTGGTGAAGGGAGTTCTGAACATATACCTACAACAGTGCAAGATCTAGTCAATGAGGATCCTCCACATGTTGTAGTCCCTGAAATTCAAACTATCTCAAATTTGGATTTCAATGCTCGATAGACATGCTCGAATGTAGAAGTTTAGACTATTCTCGGTAATAGATTCATGTTCAAATTATTCAATAAGTATTCAAATTTTTATTAATCATTAATAAATTTATAAAAATTACACTAAAACGTTTAAATTTTATGATATGTACAATAGTATAATTTATATGTGAACGATAGGCTCGTCTTCGGATCGAAACATCACTATGTTCGATCTCAGCTTGAATAATTATTCAAACTCAAAACCTACTCCGTGTTCGGATCGAAACATCACTATGTTCGATCTCAGCTTGAATAATTATTCAAACTCAAAACCTACTCCGTGTTCGAGTTCGAAACTTGTTAAACTCAATTCATTAAATTAGATTCGAAATCAAGATCGAACTCGAGTATATAATTCAAAAAAAATCTTTGTTCGATAACAACCCTGGGCTAAATTTGGTATGTATAGTAAAAAAAATTACTTCGGCTTAGCCCACCCCATCTCTCGATCCTGGATCCGCCCCTGGCACCGGCCAACAGACTTCCACAACCGATGTCGGTCGGCGGGCTGCCGCTACCACCACTGTCCGACTGGTGCCGCTACATTGCTACCGGAATCTCGTCGTTGCCGGACTGCCGCAGGCAACCACCACCATAAGGTCTACCCAAACACTAAATACAAGGTATCTTTCTTCATACAAAATATATTACACCTATTTGGAAACATTAAATCATAAACTCATATTTTTACCTCTTTTAGGCAATTTCTTATCTACTTTTTTAATATACAAAGTTAATTTGACAGCTTTCCTTCTTTTCATTTGTGAAAGGGAGACCATGCATGTAAGCTTTCTTAGTTTTATTAGGGACAGTGTTTTATACGAAGAAAATTCAACGACGAGACGTGAGCGGCGTTCCTTACATTTTTTTGATGATTGATTTTTTCCAACCAAAGAAAAGTACTCTCCGTCCCCTTTTAAATGTCTCATTTTATCATATTGGGATGTTCCTATGTAATTGTTTCATACCGTATTTGGTAAAGTTTGTGTGGCTCAAAATCATTCTTACTTTATTCTTACTTTATTATTATTTTATCTATTAATATCAACCATACAAACATACTTTTCTTAAAACTCGTGTCACCCTCTTCCGGGACATTTAAAAGGGGATGGAGGAAGTATTTTCTATATACACCCCCAAAAAGTTCTAGAAAATCTTGCCACGTGCGTGACCTTTCTATTAAAACAAAAAAGTACTCCCTCTATTTTTGGGTATTTGTACCCAGCCCATTTTTAAGCCACCATCTTTCATTTAAATCTGCAAAACCCCCCCTCCCCTTCTTTCTCCCTTGAACCCCTCCTCTCCATATACCCGTCCCTTACATTCTTCGCATTTTTCCATCTGTCCAGATCAGAAGGCTAGATTTCCTTCTCGCAAAAAGTTTCAGAGAATCAAATACGATATAGCCGATAGTTGTGGAAGAGGTTGTGGAAAAAGATGCCGCCGGCAGCGGGCCTTGTAGCTCAGTCTAATCGGTCGATGCTGATGCCGAATGTGATGTCGTCCGCCGTTCATCCGCCTCCGGCTGTGGTATCGGATTCCTTCGCCAAGGACGCCGTGATTGCGTGGTTCAGAGGAGAGTTCGCCGCCGCCAACGCCATCATAGACGCCCTCTGCAACCATCTGACGCAGCTGGAAGGCGGCGCGGGATCCGAGTACGAATTGGCCTTCACCGCAATTCACCGCCGGAGGCTCAATTGGATCCCGATTCTCCAGATGCAGAAGTACTACTCGATTGCAGATGTGGCCCTCGAGCTCAGGAAAGTCGCCGCGAGAAAAGCGGAGGTCGTCGCGTCGACGGCGGCCATGTCCAGTAGTGAGAAAGAGAACGTCGTGGAAATGAACATGAACGATTCACGCGCTTCACGGGAGGAAGCCGTTGTTAATACCGAAAGTGGAGGCGGTGAGGCCGTTTATGAAGATACGATCAAAGACGACTCACATGGTTCCCCTGAAAGTGAGATCGCCGATTCAGGTAAGTTCTCTTTACCATTATATTGCTGCTGAACTCATTTTCAATAAATCAATACTCCGTATATTATAACGGAGTATTCAGCAAATATGTACTCCATAATTATTAAACGGTGAAAGAAATTAATCTTTAATCATTTCTAATTATGCTATTTATATTTATTAATCACTATTTCTCTTAATGTTTGATCATTATTTGTAATTGAACTGATGGAAGTCACTTAAAAAGTGTATACTGGTGAAAACATAAAATGAATGGCGTACAACTCAAAAGTGACATTAAAGTCCGTAATATAATACGGAGTACTCCTCTAAACTACAGAGTGTGTATGGGTATTTATGAATTTGTGTACTCCATCCGTCTCAAAAACAACCTCAAACTTCGTTTTCTACACATATTAAGGAAATAAATTTACTGTGGGTAAATTTTACTGTTTTGACACTGTTTGGACACTGTTTAGCACTGTTTGACACTGCTTTGATGTAAATAATTTACCAAATAAGGAAGTGGGAATAAGTGTGAAGTTAATTTTGAGACATCCATTTAAAGAAAGTGGGAAGTTGTTTTTAGGACGGAGGGAGTATAATAAAAGTTTAAAGTGAACGTTGATTGAGTAACATAGTTGGAGACCTGATTGCATATATTCTACGGAGTACATTTCTACCTATCTATAGAATAAGTAACATAGTTGGTATAAGGTTAATAAATAAATAAATAAATACGAAGCATTGAGTAACTTTTAACTTTAGTATGTCGTCTTTGCCTTCATTTTCAATCAAATGAAAATTTTAACCAATTAAAAATTTGCAAGTTGTACAGTACTGTTAAAATACAGAGTAATATTGTTGACACATGATAAACAAATGAAACAATAATGATTTGGACTCATCAAATCCAAACTATACTTATTTATGGGTAGTGTAATACCGTGATATTGACTTCAAAAAGATTTAAGTTGACAAAAGAACCTCTAGCTAAATTATACCCCCAGTCCCCCACAGTAGTTTCTAAAATAAACTGAGAGTAACAATTACTCCGTATCACTACTAGTACAGTAGTACTTAGAGTAAAATCAGTCCCGTTTCCGGCCAAGAATTTCACTACTAATGTGCCCCTACTTTGACAAATCTCTGGCTCCGCCACTGCTCCGTATTATCTATCGATGTAGCAAAGTGTTGACTGCAAAAGGGTATGACCAAAATGTCGCTTGAACGTTTTCTCTTTTTGGGGCACTTATGCATTTTCCAAAAAGATACAAATCTTAGAATACCTTCATTCCTTGATTGTAGACAGTTAAATATACTCCTCCGTATATTTCAAAATAAATAAAAACTTCGAAGTTGGTGATAACCAAACGGCCTGATAGAATAAGAAGAGAAATGATTTATGGAGTACTGAATTGGAAAGTCGGAAAAAATGGGAGGGTAATAAGTGTTCGGTATTTTCCCAGAAAACTGTGTACACAGTTGACAGTTTGTATACATCCCTAATTGTTCGAGTATATAAGTAACTCATATAAAAAAAGTCTAACAATGGTTCGAATAAACTAAAAATATGTCCACATAATGAGTTTTCCGAGGCTGTGGGCAGCGGTGAACGCGGGAATTTACGATTGGCGAGGCAACAGTGTAAAAAAATACATATAAATACGTAGTCGTACTCCATCCGTCCTAATTTGATTTGCAAAATTTCATATTTTGGTTGTCACAAAATAATTTTCCACTTTCTATTTTAGGTATGTAAATAAGAATAAAGTGACAAATTTACCCTTACTTTTACTTTTTTTGCATTAACTTAAAAACATCTAAATCCTTGTATCAGTCAAAGTTTGCGATTCAATTCGGAACAGAGGAAGTATATATTAAAATTTCGGAGTAAATATACATGGCCAAAAAAATTGGAGGGGCGGCAGCAGGCAGACCATTTGCCCTTGCCTGTGTGTCCGCCGCTGGTTGTAGGAATTTGTTAAGAGTCGTAGTAGATGGTGCATATTGCATACGGAGTACTATTCTGCGGCGCGAACCCCTCGAGGACAACCTATCAGTCGGGGCATTAAGGTTTTGGACTTTTCCTTTTCCGATGCAATAATAGAAACTTTGAATTTCATTGGTGCAAGTTAGTATACGGCCGCCTTTGATCTTGGCCTATCATGTTTTGGTGTACGTAATACAATGTGCCTACTATTTATTGAAGTTTGAATAGACCCACCTCCGTTTGTTTAATGCTTCTCCCAGATTTACAATTTGCAATTATAAAGTCAAACTATTTTTAAATTTAATTAAATTAATTTCAGTAATTACATTGAAATTTCTATAAAGTTACAAAATTTAAACAAAATATACTAAAAATTGATATGCTAAATAATAAAAAAAATGACTCTATGAACAAAAAAAGTTAACTTTGAGGGTTAGTGTCCCAACTCAATGGGTCATCAACTCACTGCTTGTCTATGAATCACTAATACTTCACAAGGGTATCGTATCGACGTATCGGAAACGTTCTGTATCCGATACTATAGGATACCCGTACCGTAAGTTCCCGGGTCGTATCTGTAATTTTTAAAAAAATTCATTTTTTGGTAATTATTTTCAAATTTCGGATACTCGTATCCGGACGGATACACGTATCAACTTTTTGAAAAAAATCTTCCAAAAAATTAAAAAAAAACACCCAAAATTTACGTAGTAAAATTAATGGGCCTATTCCTAATTCACTCATCCTCGTGTCCCTAATTCTAGTTATCCCTGAAAATTAATAGCTCCAACGGAAATATGTATTAGAACTTTTAAAATATTGTTTTATATCTTCATTATTCTAGAACTTTGAGTAATTGCACTTTTAATTTCAAAAATGTAGTTGTTTGACTTATTTCTCATTTTAAATTAATGACTTATTGATTATATTTATATTTCGAGATGCACTAGTGTATACGAGATAAAATATGAATTTAAATCTAAATATTTTGAAAATGTAAAACGCTTCAATGTCATGAATGGGTAGACGTAGGAGCATAATATATGTGTACTTTTTCAAAAAAATGTATTTTTAATATTTATAAATACACCCTCATAACTTTTAATATTTATAAATATGGTCCCGTATCTGTATCCTACTTGTTTTGGTTTTGTCGTATCCCCGTTTCCGCGTTTCCGTGTATCTGTATCGGTGCTACATAGCTCCTAGCTACCGCCTACTTCTAATTCATTTGGCTATAAGCCTATAACTGAGTTGTTATCTTTTATAATAGAAAAAACTACTCCCTTCGTCCCTAATTTATCTCCTAAACTACAAATGACACAGGGATTAAGATATTGGATATTATATGGTGGTGAATTGTGCCAAGAAGTGAGAAATATGTAATAATGTGTAAAAATGCAGTGAATCGCAAATTTTTTACCAAAAAGAGAAAGAGTAGATAATTTTGGGACGTATGAAAAATGAAAGTTTGAAAATAATATTGGGACAAGGGAGTACTTCATCTGGCTCTTTTTAATTGTCACGTATCTTTTATTGGGATTTTTTTTATTATTTTCAATATTCCCAAATTTGAATATTTTTGCCGTACTGTTTCTCTTTATCTTTTTTACACTCTCCACATTTTATTATCATCTTGAAATAATTAAATATATTTATGACTAAATAAATGTTGTTTACAAAAATGTAACCTTTTAAATATAATGATTATAGTGGTAACTTTAGTCATAGTAATTCAATTTTGGATAAAGTGAACTTAACACTATATTCGTAATAATTTTAGTCATGCTTTAGTTAATACGTTTTATTTCATTAATAATTTTCAACATACATCTATTATTTTTCCCTCTATTTTTCAATTGTTTCTTACCTATTATTTTTCTGTTTTTTCTTTTTCTATTTCATACTCCGTATCTTTTTGTACTTTAATTATTATCTCTACTACTTTTTAAATTCCCATGACCATTAATAAAGAACGCAATGGATAGCTTATATAGCGTAAACTAGTTTACGCCAATACAAAATGACATTAAGATTAAGGTAAACCGACCCAACACAGTGGGGCTTCTCTTCATTCTTTTTTATTATCATTTTGACCAAAATAAATGTTATTAACAAAAATGTAAGCTTTTTAATGATAATATAATGATTATAATAGTAATTTTAATCATAGTAATTTGTGTTCAAATTTAGATTTATGTAAACATAACACTATATATTCATATACTTCGTATAAACTTTGTATTTCATATGAAGTATCTTTTTGTACTACTTATTCTCTACTACTTTTTTAAATTCCCATAACCATTAATAATAATGTGATGGCTAGGTTATAGCGTAAACTAGTTTAGACCATTAATACTCCTTCCGTCCCGGTCATTTCTTTCAATTTTGACCGGTATCGCAAATTTAGGTAGTGGGAATAAAGTGAAAATGTATGATTGTAGTTGTGTAAGAAAAATGTGAATGAATGTGAACCACATATTTTTTCCAAAAGTGGAAGTTGGAAGAATTAATTGGGACGGCCCAAAAAGGAAAATTAGAAGAAATGACCGGGACGGAGGGAGTAATTAATAATTGACACTAAGAATAAGGTTAACCGACCCAACATAGTGGAGATTGTCTTCATTCGTTTCAAACGCTTCTAAGCCTCTAATACGGCCTCCAATCATTTTTTAAAAAGAATCGTTATGCACAGTACACTACTACTGTGCCGAGATTTTCGGGACTGGGGTAACGTTGGCCGTTGGGTGCACATGGTACCGCCGACACATTGTGCCTCTACCTACCAATGTTGTTTGTTCGGTCTGGGATGCTTTTTTTGCCATTTGCGTACAATATTTTCATTGGACGCCAAATTTATTTTGTTCAGCGGACAAAAAGCATCTATAAACAACAAATTGAAGGTTATCGAATATATTCGGCCATGTCCTTGATGCTGTTTTATATACTCTTTTTGATTTATTATTAATCAGAGTAATCATACCATGTTAATAAATATGCATATACGATTATGAACAGTTCAAAAGATAAACAATTTGTTAAATACTTCCTCCGTTCTTAAATAAGTGCAACGATCAACATTTCATACTTGTCGAGGCACAACTTTGACCATTAATATATATAATTCTTTATTTGTAAAAAAATAAAAAAAATGGATTTTGAAAATTTACAACAAGACAAATTTAACAGTATTTTTTAAGAAAATATATTAATACATTAATTAATTAAACGTAGTCAAAGTACAACATGTGAATAGTGTAAAATTCAGCATGTTGCACTTATTTAAAAACGAATGTAGTACTACGTATGAGATGTACAATGAGAAACATTTTATTCTTTTGACTTTTGGTCACACAACAATTAGCTTATTAACTACTACCTTTGTCTCACTATGTTTGGAACAAAGGGGTGTGACACAACTTTTAAGAAAAAATGGAATTGTGTGGTTGGTATTGAATTAATAAAGTGTGAATAAAGTAGGAATGAAATGTAATCACCCAAATATTACCAAATGTGGTATGAAACAAACTTAATGAGACGGACGAAAAGGATAAAACGGGACAAAGTTAGTGGGACGGGGGTATTAAGTAAGTCTCATTTTTCCCCAGAATTTAATTTTTTTGTCCTTTCAAATCACTTATACTGCAAACCTGATCAGAAGTTATACCAAAATTGGGACAAGGGGTTAGTATGACCCAAAGTGATAGCTGATAAGAAATTCAATGTTACACGAAAAGTTGAATAAAGAATGACATAACAGTTGCCCGGTTAGAAATGGTAAGTAAAAAGTTTTCATGGGACTAATACATGGAGCTCTGTAGTCACCGTTGTTTGTTATTGTTTAGCTGTGATAGTACATAAATGTCATTCTTGTATTCAAATTCAGGATCACAAGATGTTCAGCCCATCCATGAACATATCAAATTCTGCTCTCTTCATGAAAACTGCGAGGAACGCCGTTCTCTGTTTAAGATGACCAAAGGGTTCATGGGTAGGGAGCCAGTGAAAGGGCATACGGTGACTTTTATTTTCTTTACTCGTCCCAAAGATACCTGTGATGCTAGCTTATTTTGCTTGCTTACTGTTTGCTTACACAAAATATTCTGTTTGGATTGCAGGTGAATGTTGTTAGAGGTCTTAAGTTGTATGAAGACATTTTCTCTCCAATTGAACTTTCAAAATTAAGTGATTTTGTGAATGAACTCAGACTCGCTGGTCGTAATGGAGAACTCTTAGGTGACCCATTGATTGATTTGATTCAGTCCGTCACAATTTCTATACTGTTTTTATTTTTAATTGTTACTCCCTATAATAGTTGTGTCTTGATATAGTATTGTATTTCACCTGTTGTAACTTGATATAGTATTAACAAACACTTTGCATTCGGCCATTCAATTCCAGGTGAGACTTTCATTTTGTACAACAAGCAAATGAAGGGTAGCAAAAGGGAGTTGGTTCAACTTGGTACTCCTATTTTCGGCCATGTGAAGGAAGATCTTGCATCTCAAAAGAGTGAGAATCTTTTTAACAAATTTGGAATAACTTATGACACGAAGGCATTTTCATATGAGTACTTAAAGAGCTTTTTTGAAGCAAAAAAATTAAAGTTTTCTTAAAACTTCTTTCTAAAGCTTTGAAAGTGAGTCATTCGAAATTAAATTTAGATTTTACACGGAATATGTTTATACAGGAGGAGACACTGTCTGTTCTTGACAGCTTAAGTTAAGAAGAACTTGACAAGAAGACTCTCCATATATATAGCACGCAGTACAATAGTATGGAGTACAATTTAAGGAAGGCGTGCACTGTAATTAGACAAACTTCAATTTTGGTCATAAAGTCATTTCAATTGTTCACTCTTTTTGCTTATCAGTATCAAATACTAACCTTAACCGTCAAATATTCAATTTGTTTGAAGATAGACGCTAGAATCTTATTATCTCACTCTTAGAAATGATCTAAAGTTAAGATTAATTCATTCATAATCAGGAATGGGCTTTCATTATATATAATATTCAGTGAAATTGAGTTATTAAAATGAGTGAATTCTAAATTAATGTTTGGCCGAAAATCGAAGCTAGCATGAGATATTATCTCTCTTTACACACACAGGCACATCTTCTTAATTCCTGCTTACCCTTAACTGGAGAAAATTCTACTTTGCAGGCAGTAATGAGCCCATTCCAGCTCTTCTCGAACTTGTCATTGATCACCTTATTCAGTGGCATTTAATTTCAGAGAACAGGAGACCAAATGGATGTATCATCAACTTTTTTGATGAGGTAGGGTAGTCTATATTACTACATGATTCTCCGGTTTGGGTATTTACAGAGCATTATTTACGAGAACGTCAAGTATTGTGGTGTCTTATTGTTAGGGGGAATACTCACAGCCTTTTCTGAAGCCGCCTCATTTAGAACAGCCTGTCATTACCCTTCTCCTCTCAGAGTCAACAATGGCATTTGGTCGAGCTCTTGCAGGTGACAGTGAGGGAAAGTACAGAGGATCCCTCATACTTCCCCTTAAGGAAGGGTATGTATGTCTCGTTGACAACTTGACATCTTCATCTGTTACTCCTCATTGATGCATAAATTAAGAAATTCATTGAATGTCCTATAGAATCTTCCAAAAAAATGCAGTGTTATACCTAAACTAACATCAGCCTTTGTTTGGTTATAATGATTGGAGAGGTAAGACGGGGGTAGGAGAAATGTGAGAAGGGGAGGGGAGGAAAAAATTATGAATGTAAAGATATATGTAGTATTTTGTTTCATATAACGTTAATTGTCTACATGAATTACAATAAAAGGCGGTGCAATTTCAATGAAGAAACACATGAAAGACATTTAAATATAAAAAAAAACTAAAATAAAATATTAACTCCCCCAATAGTTTCTCTGCTTTAAACCCCTTTCCCCCTAACCTAAAACTTACAGTTTTCCACTTTCCTCCTCTCCAAAATCCTCCAACAAAAGAAAGGTTTAACTAATGAGTCTTGGAAGTTGGAACTATTAGACAGAATGATATTTGTAACAAAATTTGGTACTGAGAGATTAGGATGTGTTTGTTGTTGCAGATCACTTTTGGTGATGAGGGGGAACAGTGCTGACATTGCAAGGCATGCAATGTGCTCATCCCCAAACAAAAGAGTTAGCATCACATTCTTTAAAATCAGGACATGCAGTGATGAGAGCAATAATCCATCTGATGTTGTACCCCCATTGACAAAAGCCATGACCTTGTGGCAACCTAGCATTCCTCCTCCCTACACCTCTCCAAATCTAAACCACTTGCCTGCCTATGACACAACAACAACAATGGATATAATACCTAGAAGTCTTATTCGCCCACCTCCCGTGGTCATGTTGGCTCCTGTTCACCCGCTTGTCCTTAGCCCCCGGAAGCTTCCTCGTGGCGGAACAGGGGTTTACCTGCCCTGGACCGTCAGAACCACCAGGAGGCATCACGTCAAGCATCTTCCACCTCGTGCCCAGAAACAACGGTTCCAGCTGGCTCTGCCCCCTTCCCCGGCTGAACCAGAGGCCCCATCTACTGAGCCAAGTGTTGACCTTCCCTGATATTTATACTTTGATGGTGTGCCTTAAGCTCTTAGGGGTATAGTAGTTGATTTTATTACGTCTGCAAATTTAAATCTGTGTATTGTTTCAAAGAACTTCCCAGTGTACCAAAAGAAGTTCAAGTTAAAAAGATGAAAGAGAAAAGAAAAATCCTTTGATTACTCCATAATAGTTCAGTTGGGTTACGATTACTTAATTAGATCATAATACACATATACCAAACTATGCTTTAAAATTGAATCCGACCAATTAGTTAGTTTAAACATTATAAAACAATATATCTTTCTTTAATGTTTCAAATATAAGGTTATTAAAGAAAGTACAAAACAAGGAAATATAAGGTGTGTGTATGTGTGTGTATATATACACACATGCCATTAGTTATTTATAAGGACGGAATCAAGTTAAGTTAAAAAAAAAACATTTCATATTAATGATGAAAAATTAAAGACTTCGAATGAATAAGGGGCAGCCATTGGCTTATTAATTTTTTCTCTTTAAGAAACAAATTAAACGCACTTTATTTCACACACAAAAAAAAATCTTGAAATGCATCTTAAAACGGACATCTTCATCCCTTAGAAGCTTCCTAGATGGGAAAAAAATTCAACAGAGAGAATTCTTTTATGTGCAATAAACTACTATATCGTGACATTATTGATCAAATTCTATGAGCTGATCAACCAGCACAGGTTGGGAGGGGGGCAATATTTGACATCCAGTCTGGTTCCAAGTGTGAACGATCAACATTACAGTCCTGGTTAAGATCAGCAAGTGCGGTAAAGATCATCATCATGTGATTATGCACCATCTCCAAGCTTCTACCTACTTGGTATACCTAATTAATCTCCATTGATCCACCACATCCTCACAATCACTCCCATGTTGAAGTAACATGGGTTTTAGTTCTGGGAAGTCTTTGTTAGCTCAGGGTCCGTTCAAAACACCTTGGTGAAGTTGGCATGGCAATACTCCGGCGCAGCCAGAACTTTGCCACCCAATTCCACCTCCCAGAGACCATAAGAACAGCATGAAGATAAATGGCACACTTGATGTCTACACCTTGACATAGCTCAAGGGCTGGTCTGTGTCGGACCCTACTCGCATAAAAGAGGTGACCCTGAAGTTGAGCTATGGGAACATGGTTTGGATGTCAGAGAACACCACAAGTTCATGCCACAGCCAGAGGAAGTTGGATTCCACATTATTGGTAGGGTTGGATTCGGTTCGGGCCACCCGGCCCGTGACCCGGCCCGGTACTGTGCGGGCCCGGGACCGGCCCGGTCGGGCGGTCCGGGACCGGGTATGGACCCGAACCGGTGGGATTGGGCGGGGCGGGCTCGGTGCTGGATTAATGTGACCCGGCCCGGGTCCGGTCTTAATTTAAAAAAAAAAAAATTGGGTCTTGGCTAGTGGGCTACTAGCCGTTGGGGGTGGGGCTGGGGACAACCCAAACGGCTATATAGCCGTTGGGTGGGGTAAAGGGGGGGTCCGGGGGGGTTGGGTGGTGGGGGGTGGTGGTGGGGGGTGGGGGGTAAAAAAACCTATAAATACTCCTAATCTTAAGCATTTTTTCATATCTCTTCTCCAATTCTTCCTAAATCCTATTCTTAACTCTCTACTCTCTAATTCTCTTATTCTCCAATATATTATATTTATTATTTATATATCTACTTTATAGTTTATACTTAAGAAGTTAAGATGGAAAATCAAGATGCCATTATACGGTATAATTTTGATAAGCAGAAGGACCCGAAGACCGGGATGTGGTACGCAATTTGCAAATGGTGCGAGAAAAAATGTAGCATGGGGGTTTCAGGAGGATACGGGATGGCAATCAAGCATATGAAGTCATGTGACAAAGCTAAAGTATCGGGAGGTGCGGGAAGTTCTGATTGATTACAATTTTCAAAATGTTTGTCTCTTAAAGTTTGTTTTAATTTTCAAATGTAGTTCCTATTTCATTTCAAATAAATGCACTTGAAGTTTGTTTTTAATACTCGTATAAAACTATAAACTATAAAATATAATTTATAAAAAAAAAATTAACCGGCCCGGCCCGAAACGGACCCGACCCGTGCCCCGGGCGGGTGGCCCGGCCCGAACCGGACCCGTCCAACCCTCGGGCCGGTCCCGGGCCCATGTCATACAAACCGGCGGCCCGACCGGGCCTAGGCCCGGCCCGAGTCCATCACTAATTATTGGGAGTTGAGACGGGTGGATTCTTGGACAATGGAGACCAGTTCTCCCAAAAGAAGACCAGAATTGACCAGTTCTTTGGTTTCGTATTTATAATTCTTTGATAATTATGCTAAAACCCCATAACCAGAAGCAGACCGAAATCAACCTGGAACCGATTACACAAATGAGCTTCTGGTTCCCCCTTGACATTACCTAGAACGGGAACGGACCAGAACCTATTCAGGTCCAGTGGTCCACCCCTAGAGTTGGCAGGTCATGATGACATAGATGAGGTTGGTCTCATGTGAGTATGTGACCCATACGTGATACGTGTGACCATTGGGGAAGGCTGGGGCTGCACTGAAAAGGGGGATGTTGATGGAAAAGGCGATCTTGCAAATGGCAAGGGGGATATTGGCGGAACCGGAAAGTTCAATAAGAGAGCCAAGGATGGAACAAATAAAGGAACAGCTACACGAGACTGTCCTACCCCCTTTTTATTTCCAACTTGCAGTGGAGGAGTCAGGAGAGGGACCCATTGGGAGTGGTTAAGACTTAATAGAGGTTTTAGGCGAGGTTGGTATTATTGTGAGAGAGACAAGAAACCTCAGATAGTCAGATCTCAGGATGTTCCCCTGCCAGCACCTTTTCGCATCATTATAACACATCCATTGCAACACATATAGTATTTCATTTCAATCTGCATGTGGCTTAATGCACAGTTCTCTAGTACACAACATCCAATTTTGAGCTTCTATGATTTTTCATGCAGCAGTACAAGTTATTTTCATTAAAGCGCTTGTCTAAAAAAAGTTGAACCAACTAATCCAGTTCGACCCTCCCAAGCCCCAGCTAAATGCTAGGCCTTTTTCTTTTCAAAAAAGCAGTTATTATATATTCAAATGTTCAAATTCTGTACATTTACTATTTCTACCCATATCCACGAACAAAATACAAAGATTCATGCAAATCTTGCTCTCAGTTCATTGGCCTACACAAGCAGCATTAATTGAAAAAACAACTAAGGCGGGGGTAGAGAGAAGCACAGTGGAAGGTTCAGGGAACACCGGAATCACCATCTAAGGGCTTCTTTGATTCAAGATTTGGGGGTGGAGTATTTATTTTTTAAAGATTTTCTGTATTTTGGCGGTTTGAAATAAAGTGAAGATATTAAATTATAAAGAAAAACATTATTTGACTGATTTTCTAGTTAGATCTAGATTACATCCATCAAATTAACAAACTAAAAACCAATCCTCCCCCTCCATTCCCTCCAAACAAATTTAAGAAAATGAGTGAGAGTAGCTCCACGCTCTCACTTAAAAGAGTATTTTTGTCAAATCTGAAGCATTTTCTGTACCACCATTCACTGTGTTTCTCCCTACACCTAGTGTAATTGTTGACAGAAAGAAGGTTTTTTAGAAAAAGAAGTTAAAGACTTAAAGCTCATCTTTGAAAGATGAAGCTTTATGGCACTCCTCATCCCAATAATAAGGGTATTTCAATCTAGCGGCAGTGTGTGGCATGAGCCAGTCGTCATATATGAACCTGAAAGCAAATTGCGTCAACCAAACTTCGGTTCAGAAACTATCAAAAGCACGAAACATCACTACAGCAATGTATGGAACACTGAAAATGGTGGGTGAAAACTAAAAAATGCAAGGCAAATAGTTTACTTATGTTTGGCTTTTACCTTGGAAAATAAAAGGAAAATCAAATTTGATTAAAACATTTAGAAATTGCACAGACTATCACCGTCCCATTATTATCTCCTGTTTTGACTTTGCACACAGATTAAAGTAAAACTTGTGTGGTTGAAAGTTTTCTTCCAAAGAATCTTTGCCATAAAAGGAAGGTGAAATTTGTTTAGGGGCAAATGGATAAGGAATGTAGGAATTTCATTTTGAGAAGGATAGACTATTTCTATTACTGGAGTATATCTTTATATTATAGAAAGATATAAATAATGCGTTTGGACAAATATCTAGAATTGATTTATTGAGTTTGAACCCAAAAAAATCCTTTCAAGTTTCCCTTTTTTCCTTCCAGGTTTGTCCTCTGTTCTCCCTCATATATTCTTCCCTTACAGTTTCCAGGCTCGAAACAGACCCTAGACGGGTTGATGGAGAAAATGTTTTAGTAAGATCTTGTGGTGGCCAATAAGAGGAAATAATGCTTACACTTTCACTGGAGGGCGAGAAATAATAACCAAGACCTGTAAATCCTCAGATTCTCCCGTGTTCCAAACCTGAAACGGGATAGAAAAATGCTATCACTTTAAACACCAGAAATGACGGAAATGGAATATTGAGTGTGGTTGATCTTGAATTACTGCAGTAGATAAAATATCAAATAGGAATTGTATAAATGAAGCTCTTGAAAAATAATTTAATGATTTAAAACATGTAACCATCCAAGACCTTCCATAAATGTTCATTTGTTTCATTTTAATGAGTTCAATCGAACATAACATGTCAAATGCAGTACTATGTTGGTTTTTTATCGTGTAATCTGTTTTTTATTCATCCACTTGTTTACTCTTTGGACCTACTGGGTGATCATTAAGAACTTCACCACCAAAAAATGTATACAATGAGGATGAATAGACTTGCAACAATCTTGGTACTTTCAGGAAGCATTGGACTCCTGTATATTAGATAATTAATAAAAATGTCATTGTATGGTCTCTATTGGTATGTTTGGATCTCGGAAAATGCTACTGGATTATGTTTGGTTATAAATATTCTTACACATATTTAAAATTCTTAATCTTTTTTTCTATATGAAGCTTATATAAATAAAATGTGTATCAAATATCTTTTAAAAAATTAATCAGTCTTAGCCTATCAACTCTTTTCTGCCACATTTTCTTCCCTACCAGTTTCCCTTACTAATTTCTTCCCATAGTATTTTCTGGGATTCTGATGTGCCTATATTCACTAATTGATTGCGCTTTAGCAGGCCCCATTTTTTATTACAATGTTACCAAAACCAGCACATATTAGGATATGAAAAGATACATCTTTATTTATATCAACAAAATCAATCATATCAACTAAACATATCTCATTTAGCAGACTTATCAAAGTGAAAAAATACTCAATATATTTACCTGGTGAGCGTCACCGGTAGGAATCTGAAAAGTGCTATTCGTGAAGACGGGTATTTCCTGTGGGTCCCCAGGGTACTTTGGATGTGAGTTAGATGCAAGGTAGAGTGTTCCCTTCCCCTTGAGTACAACAAACACTTCCTCACAAGAGTGTCTATGGATAGGTGTTCTTGAACCCGGGGCAAATGTTTGGAGCCATACCTCAACCTGTTCAAATGATTTTCACTTTTAAATAATCACTAGCACAGAGGTAGCTAAGGCCATATTTGGATCTTATATAATGCTAGGAAAAGGAAATAAAATGCCAAGGAAAGTTATTTTTAAATGATTGGCTTCACCTTAGAAAATGTAAAGCAAATTAACTTTTTTTTCAAATGTTTAGAAATTTCATTATTGTATGATAGAAATACATGGAAAAAAATAACTTGAACAAATAATAAAGATGAACTTATTGAGTTTGAAACGATGTTTTATTTTTCTCTCTACATTCTATTTCATTCCAGATTTCTTCTATAATTTTTTTTTTATTTTACTTTATTTCCTTTCCATTTTCCAAGTAGAATTGGTAAAATTGAAATTACGTTTTTCAAACACAATTCCAATTTCTACCAATGCAACAGGTCAGCAAGATAGCAGCTGAAAATTTTGCATTCCTTGAAATTATAAACAATTATTTCCCCAATCTGGATGTTAAATAGGAAATCTAACCTCTTTCATGCCATGCAGTACTGAACCTGCCAGTGTGATGTGAGACAAACCAGGTCTTCCGTAGTTATCTTGTGGAAGCTGGCTGATATTCCTAACAAGTGGCAATCCTGCTTCAGAGAAGAAACCCCTCAGCCACTATTTCATCAATCTAGATTAAATTAGATGTGAAAAAGAATGTACTAATAATATACTAATATGAAATAAATGGATGTCAAGACTCAGGAGTGAAGTGAAGACGGCTTACCTTTGATGGAGCATTGTGAAGCTTCGGAGGTCATGAAGAACAAAACGACCACGAATACAACTCCGACTAAACGCCGGTACATTTTCACGATCTTACACTCCGAGTTTACGACAAGGAATTTCGTGAAGCCTTGGAGTGTGGAACGGGATTATTCGATCGGGGGCTTCGGGTCTGCGAAATGGGGTCGGTAATCCGGATCTGCCACTGTGGTCTTGAATGATCTGTCATCAATTTAAGGGATGTTTTGTGCACCCCAAAATTGCTTAATGTAACCATGGCTGGACAAATTTGGTCTTCTTAAATATTAATTAAAATTAAGTAAAATTAAAAAGTTAATTGGAATTGCTTTGCGCGCCCTCCTCAGGTCCAAACGCTCGGCTCAATTCTCCTTCTCCCTTATTCATATGAAATTTACATTAAATATACATCCAATTAAATAGTGCCATGTGGCAAGTAATTCTTTTTTTATAAAATGTTATAACTTTTTCATTTTTGCTCCAATTTTTATAAAAATTATACCAAATTAAATATCTTTTTATGATCTTTCATATGACATCAATATTATATATGTAATTTTAAAAAAAAAATCTGGTCAATTTTCGTGAAAGTTCAGATCTGATTCTATTTGTTTAAATCTATCTGGTTCGAAATCAGTTCAATTAAAAACATCCTAAATACCTATCACACCATAAATCTAGTCATGTAACATATGCGACCGTAATGTGGAATCAACATGGTGCTGATGGAGTTTTAAAAGGTGGGGCCTCCACGTTTGAAATTAGTCAAGCAAATAAAAAATGAAGATAATTAGTTTACTAGAGTTAACAATGTTACTTATTCAATTATATAATCTAATATAGAACTTCCAAAAAAAATATAATATGAAGTATAGAATTGCGCAGAGTTAAAAACAAAACATTTATGTTTTTAATTTTATAATGTATAAAGTTTAAATCAATCATCCAATACAATTGTAACGGCGTCTCTTATAACATTACGACATTCTGTAAACTGTTTAATTCGGTGAAGAAGTGGAGTGTCCCATCCTGTAACACTAGCGTCGTGATAGTAAGACCATGTCAAAATCACTGGTGGCAACGGAGCATTGTCGTCAAGCCAAATCTGTGCATCAACAGAAGTTATCATTTTATGCATATCATATGCTAATGTGAAAATAAAAAAAGTAATGTGAAAAAAAATGGAACTATAAAATATTATTTGCTTACAGCTATGTAGTGTTGTTTGGAATGAAGCCGGGCAATGCAAAAAATTGTCTTCGGAGGACTACTACCAGGAGGAGCGATCATGGGCAAACAAGTGACTGGTTCGTGGAGGTCAAGATGCACTACAATAACCTGGTATAACGTTGCAAAGATCAGCCCTGTGTGCGGCATGTGTATCCAATGCCGTGGTGGTGCAGGACTGATGTAGTAGTCTATTTGCTCCCGCAAGTCATCAATAGTGTCAAGAAGGCATATAGGATCATACAACCCACGATGACGATCTAGTTCTTCCACTAACTCTCTTTGAACTCTAACCCATTCATTTTCTCAGTGTACTCCCACGCGCTTGGGTCTTGAGTGGTTGATTTTTTTTGGGCCTTCCCTTCGTTTCATGAATCGGTGGCTCTTTCATAGTATTAAGTTTTGGATTTTTCATCTCATTCCACTTTGCATGAAGTCTTTTTTTTTCTTGTGGTGACATACGACCTGATTGAAACTCATCAACTATTGTTTTTAGGACCACATCATCAACACTTATATCATCGGCCTTGTCATTCTCTTGTTCCTTATTTACATACCATTCAACTTTTCTCCAAAATTCATGTACCATTGATGGATGTAGTGGACGATTATCACGAATACAAGTTGCTAGCTCGTGTGGACATGGTAAACCATAACACTCCCTCCACCAATAGTCATTGCATGTTGGATCATATTTTCCTTCTATGACCTCATCATGCATCCTTATTAACTCCTTCATGCACTCTGATGGATAGTGTACCCGGGGGGTAGCTTATCCGGGGGGTTATTACGGGGAGTAATAAGAGAGAAGTCAGAGCAAGTAAGTAGAGAGAGAAAGTGTATTCGGAAAGTATGCAGCGTTTTTGACTTGGTTACAAATGGGGAAAAGGGGTGCTATTTATAGTAGCAATAAATGCCGGACAGGGACACGTGTCAAGCGTCCATTGGCCGAGAGGTCACCTCATCTGGTTGGCGCTGGCAACCGCATGTGGCCGCATTTAATGCGGCTGTTGGAAGGGAAGTTTGTACAGGGTACGGTGATCTGTACGCATGTGGTGTGGATATCATGTCGGGCAGGGTGCCCTCGGCTGTTAGAGGACTAGCCGAGGGCTCTGAGTACCGGGGACCCCTTGGTGCCGAGGGCTCTAGGTGCCGAGGGCTACTGTTTTCTGCTGTTTTCCTCCCAGTTTCCTAGTTTGCTTGAAAATCCATTCTGTGAGAGTTTTGAGCCTTCGGCCAGGGGGCCGAAGGCTCCCCAGTGTGCGTTTTGGGCTTCTAAGTGCTTGGGGTGCCGTAATTTGGGGCCTGTTGTGCTTCCTGGTCCGGTTGGGCCTTTATTGGTGTAGTAGGAGTCTGTGGGCCGGGGGTTCCCGTGCCATATACTCCATCAGGAGTCCCTCACTCCTTTTGCCGAAAGGTACTTGAGGGAAAAGGAGTAATTTTGTGTTTGTCCCCTTGATGTTGTCCCGTTGTAATCTCTGAAGTTGGTGAGGAGTTGTTGCTTTCATGTCCCTGCCGAAGGCAGTCCGTCAGTTACCCACATGTCGGGACTTGAGGGCTTGCTTTGCCGTTTTGTTGGAATTTTTCACCATTTTGTAATTTTAATGATTTTCCCGAGGGGGTCCTCCAGTCCCCCACTCCTTGAGGCACTTGCAAAGTGGTGAAAAGGAGTAGAGTAGTCGCGCTGCTGTTGTGGGCCGAAGGCTGACGCTTTTCGTTTCATTTTGGGGGGATGCCTCGTTAAAAACCTCATTAGGAAAAACCCTGGGGGAAAAATCCTAATGAGGGAAAAAGAGTGCACCGAATTCCCCCAACGATGAATCGAAAATGTGAAACCTTGGTCAAAAATGGAGAATAACGGTAATGCCGAAGGCTCTCCTTGTTTTGAGGGCTCATGTGTTGATTAGCCGAAGGCTTGCTGTTGATGTCCTGGGGGTGCCGAAGGGGAGCCCCTCAATCTGGGGATCGAGGGCGTGATGGATGAGGACAGTAGTTGAATTGTCACCGGGGTGTCCCCTACTCATTGGTTAGTTGGTGAGGAGGATATCCGGGGGCTCCCATTACCTGCGTGCTGTAGGCTATCCGTCAACGAGGCATACTCCCCGGGGGCTATTCGGCCCTTACAGTGCTGAGGGGGAATCCCCGAGGGGTGGCCTGATATGAAGCCTTGGGCTTCTGAAGGAGTGATCCCGAAGGCGACTGTATGTACCGTGTGGGCAAAACTCGGGGGCGTCTCTGGGTAAGTGTACCCGGAGGCTCCCCTTGATGAAGTGGAGTGAAGTAAGAAAATCCGGGGGCTCCCAGAATATAGCCGTTGGAAATATAGCCGTTGGAAATATAGCCGTTGGAATATGTAACGTCAGGTTATAGCCGTTGGGGGGTACATGTGGCGCGTGACGGTTGGCTGTCCGTGGGCGGCGTCACCGGTTGGGCGAAGACACGGCGCGTAATGATGACGGTCCGTCCGGAGGCCCGGTTTCCGGGCCCAAGCCCGGATTCCAGCGCCTATAAATACCCCAAGGCCAGGCGCTCCTCCTTGTGCGAAATTCTTATAGCGAAGCTCTGCCAATTTTTCTAGAGAGAGAAACAGCAGCCCTCGGTTGAATCCTCTGTTCTCAAGGTCAGTTCTCCACTTGCCCTTCACCTCTCTAGTTAGCTGTCTTGTGCCCCTAGGCTAGGAGATAGGATTTTTAGAAAACACTAGCGTCTACGAGCCTTCGAACCAGAGATAGAATGTCGTCCCAGAGTGATTCTCAAGACATCTCGGGGGCGCCCTCGATGGAGGATGAAGTCCTTTCGGATATGGAGTCTTCAAACGAACAGTCCTCGGCCCAGGAGGACGTTGTGATGGCAGTAGAGGTGCAGAAGGAGCTGTTGGCTGAAGTTGAAGCCGAGGGCTTCGAGCAGGAGGTGGAAGACGAAGAGCTGGCCCTCGCCATGCAAGTTGCAGAGGAGGAGGAAGCAAAGGAGAGGATGAGGGTGACAGTGGCCGTCCTTCCCCCTCGGGGTGCTGGTGAGGCCAGTACCTCTCGGCCGCTGAACGCAGTTCCCATCCGGGTGGCCCCCGGGAAGAAGAAGGCCAAGGTAGCTGTTCCCAAGAAGAAGGGCAGCGTCGCAGATCAAGGGAAGCCCCTCGATATGCCCGAGGGGTACTCCTACCTGAACACCGCCGCCTTGGAGATAAAGTCGAAGGTTGATGTGGCGGACATCTATGTCACCCAGCTTCACGTGGGCCCCTCGGCCATCGTGGTGACACCGGGTCCAGATGACGTCCTCTCCCGGGCTCCCGAGGGCTGTATTGTGGTGCACGTTCTCTCGGTATCCATGGGGCTCCGCTTCCCCCTGCACCCCTTCCTCCGGGAGTACCTTCGGTTCGTGGGTCTGGTTCCCTGCCAGCTGACCCCGAACAGCCATCCATTCTTATATTACTGGCTTCCTTCAGCTCTGCAAGTCCCGGGGGGTGACGCCTAGCCTGGACCTCTTCTTCTAGAGCTTCAATTTGTGCCGGGGGGGGGGGGGGGGGGGGGGGCACGCGAATGCCAAGGGATTTGCCAACTTGCAGCAGGTGTCCATGTTCAAGCTCTTCACTGAGGCGCCCTCCTCGAACAAGGGGTGGAAGGACCGGTGGTGCTACGTGAAGCTGACCGAGAGCCCCTTCCCGAGGGAGTTACGTGACCGTTTCAGGAGGCACGAGAAGAGGAGGAGCGCCGCCCTCGAGAAAGATGGCAGGATTCTGGCCATGATCCCGGAGGGCCGGGACAAGAATATCACCATTAAGGAGTGCACCAAGGAAGGAGATCTCTACACTCTCGGGTTCCGGCGGTACCGGTTCCTGGGGGAAACAGATGAGAAGTTCCCAGTGTTTGAGGGAGCCTCCGGAGGTAGTGGCTGAGGGCATTCTCACCTTCATATCTTAGCACGTCGTTTATTTGCTTCGTTTATTCTTTATGCCATTTGTTAGTGACCCCTCGATTCTAACCCCTCATTGTTTTGCAGGTATCCCAGTGAACATGATGAAC